TGGAAAAGTGACCTTTAAAGCAAGACAAGGAGGATTAGCTTACTGGGTAGATAGGAGGGGAAGAGTGCTCCAGGCAGAGGGCAGAGCAAGTAGGGAGCTGGCCCAGACGCAGGAGGTACTGGGGCCAGATGAGGCTGGAGAGAAGGGGAAGGGCAGATTGTCCCACTCCTCAGGACCAGGTCAAGAAGTCCAGACATTATTTTAAGGGCCACTGGAAGCTGTTAAAGTGTCTAAGCAGAATCTGTTTGAATGAGTACAGGTCCAGGAGCTCTCAGGCTTGCAGCAAAGACAGTAATGAGGTGAGGCATTGTAAGAAGGAGTGGAGGAAGCTTCTATCTGTGCTCTGAACATCCTTCTCGAAAGTAGCACCCTGCTTTTTCTCAGTCTGAGCTCTCTGCCTGGATTGCTTTCCCCACTCTGTCTTTCTGCCTAATCCAATGTCCAGTCAACTTTTCCCTTAGCATCACCTCTTCCAGGATGCCTTCCTTGACTTTTAGTGGTCAAGGGCAGATCTCCACTACAGCCCTGGCTTGCCATGTGCACTGTCCAGCATCAAAGACTGCATCCACATCCACCTTCTCTTCTTCCAGATCACCCCACGAGAGGGTGAAAGTAGGGGGCAGGAGGGGAAGGAAGTTGGGGACTCCTCAGCTCTGTGCTGGTCCCCTACCTTCCCAACCAGTCTGGGATTGGCGCTGGATACTGCCACCTGCTGGCAACAAAAGGAATTAGTCCCGGTCCATTCAGGCTTTTCTAAAGAGGAATCATATAAGCTCTAACTAGATGCAGGGCTTGTCTAAGGGGCCTGATGATTTCAGGAGGCAGAGCTGGCCTGGGAGTAGGTGGGAGGGATTAAGCATCGATAGAACAGCTGCTCTAAGGTGAGGACTCAGGGTCCAACCCTGTTGGCTGCTGAGACCTGAGTCCAGACCCTGGGCCTAAGCCAGAGCGGTAGGGGGACCCACTTTGTTACCTCAGGGATCAGGAATGTCCACACAGCTGGGAAGATGACCTCCTCTCCTCTGTGAAGACCTCCAGGGAGCAGGGACCAGCCTCAAAGCCAAGTGACCACCCACACCCCCCTTTTCCGGGACAACTTGTTTTGCTTTAAAGCCTGGGACTTTGACCTGGGAGCTGGGCTTTCCGCCTGTTGGTCACCTGCTGTCTTTCCTGCTCATCCTCCCCCCACACTCCCCCAAAGCATGGCTCAGAGAGTCCTTGCCTTGCCTTTATCCAGGGAGTTTAGTGAGAAAAGGCAGAAACTGTGTCTTGCTTGCTGATGGCAGAAGCTGGGCTGCACTGGCTGGTAGGGCTGGGTGAGGACCTTGTCCACCTCCCCTTGAATCTCTCCACCCTTGGCTCMTCGGATATTCAATTTTTCTGGGATTTCATCCTCTTGCTCCATCCTGCCTCCTCTTCTTTTTTTTTTTAATATTTATTTTTCAGTTTTTGGCRGACACAACATCTTTGTTTGTATGTGGTGCTGAGGATCCAACCCGGGCCGCATGCCAGGCGAGCGCGCTACTGCTTGAGCCACATCCCCAGCCCCTGCCTCCTCTTCTTTTGAGACACTTGTGTCCTGGGGTTGCATCCTGGTCCCTGAAAACACACACACACACACACACACACACACACACACACACACTCTAGGAAGGTCTTGCACTCCCATCCTGAATTACCATCACTGTTCACAAGTGTCCTTCGGATCTAACTCTCTCTTCTCCAGACCCAGGGATCCTGCTGCCTTCTAGATGCCTCCCTCTGGAGGGTCCGCAGGTACCACACACAGTACATCTAAGGCATCTGAGACACCACTATCCACTCAGCTATCCAAGCCAGAAACCTAACCAAGAGTCACCTCCTTCCTCACCCTGTCCAGCTAGTCACTGTTCTAGAAACCATGCCCAGGCTTTTCTACCAGGGCTCAGACCCACCCCCACTGCCATACCCCTGCTGCAGGCTAACGCTGACTGTGTGGCTCCTTGGTGGTCTCTCTAGATCTCCCTTTTCCATTTCTTATGCCCATTTCATTTTCTCAAATGCACCTCTGACCATGTGACTCCCCTGCTTAAAACCCTTGCTGCATGTTTGTGAAATTCAACTTCATTCCTTACATTCCAACCAGTGATTCTCTGGCTGTTCATTACCACTCTCCAGACTGTGCCCACAGATTCTGAACCCAAGTTGTTGTAGGAGGGGCAGCAGGACACACATGGACAGGAGGCATCACTCAATTTTACCCAAAGTTCTCCTAGAGCACTTTGAGGATTCCCAAGTTTTGTTTTATTTTATTTTTAAAATTTTCTTTGCTCTTTTTAGTTATACATGGCAGTAGAATGTATTTTGACATATCATACATATATGAAGTATAATTTCCCATTCTTGTGGTTGTACATGATGTGGAGGTACACTGGTCGTGTATTCATATATGATCATAGGAAAGTTATGTCCGATTCATTCTATTGTCTTTCCCAATCCCAATCCCCCTCCCTTCCCTCCATTCTCCCCATCTAATCTGGTGGAACACCCCCACCCCCACCCCCACCATTGTGAGTCAGCATCTGCATATCAGACAGAACATTCAATCTTTGGTTGTTTGGATTGATTTATTTCACTTAGAATGATAATCTCCAGTTTTATCCATTTACTGGCTAATGCCATAATTTCATTCTTCTTTATGGCTAAGTAATATTATATATATATATATGTATATATATATATATATATATATATAATTTTCTTTACCCATTCATCTATTGTAGATCACCTAGGTTGGTTCCATAGCTTAGCTATTGTGAATTGAGCTGCTTTGAACATTGATGTGGCAGCATCACTCTAGTATGCTGATTTTAAATCCTTTGGGTATGTACTGAGGAGCAGGATAACTGGGTCAAATGGTGGTTTTGTTTCAGGTTTTCTGAGGAGTCTCCATACTGCTTTGCAGAGTGGTTGAACCAGTTTGCAGTCCCACCAGTGATGTCTGAGTGTACCTTTTTCCCCACAGAGGATACCCAAGTTTTGGATGGTAATGGGCCCACTGTGCTTGCATGCATGAGCATGCACACACACACACACACACACACACACACACACACACACACACATCAGGGACAAAACGTGATTCTGAGTGCTCCCAACTGACAGAACCATTTTGACATGGAAAAGGGTGCCCAGTGGGTCCTCTGAACAGCAGTTTGACTTCCTCTGGGCAGAGAAGCTATGCAGGAGACTCCTTAGGGACTTTGCTCCTGGTCCGCCAGCTTTGCCTAGCCTTCCCTTTCTTTATGGGCAGGAAGTAGGATTTATTGGTGAATGTGAGGAAGGAGGTGGTAACACGGTGGAAACCCTCACCAGTACAGGGTTTGCCATTTGTCTAGGAAACTATGGGATGTATTTGACAGCTGCCCACTTCTCTGCTACCATGTCTTCAAATCCATTCACCTCAAACTCTGTAAAGCCCCACTGTTTTGAGATATGGATTTTCTGGTGGCCAGGGAACTGAACTTAGCCCCATGTAGGGCCTCAATCCCACACTCCTTGTTCTGTACCCAGGTGCAGATGGACACTATGACTTGGTCAATATGAACCCTAGCCACTGCGCCCTGGGACTTTCCAAAGGCATCTTGAATATCTGTCTGGGACCCAGATCAAGGACGTGAAGAGCTCAGAGACATGTATATCCTTTGGGAAGCACCATCTCCAAGGTCATACAAGTCATACAAGCAACAGGGTGCACACACTTTGTTCAGCCATTTCATACCAGGTTCCCATGAGGAGCGGAGCCCAGGCACAGCTCCCAGCACCTAAGCTTCCCATAGTCCTGCTGTGGCTTGGGGCAAGGAAGTCTAGCACGATCCCTGGCCTTGATAGGAACTTGGGTTATGCTTAGTCCCTGAGCTGGAGGGTAGACTGGATGCCATGTGATTCTAGAGGGATGTTTCGCCTCTTATGAGGAGTCTGGCTCCAGGATCAGGTGATAGTTGATAGGTGTCCCCGGTGGTAGGTGAACCTTCCTCAGGATTGCTCCTGARTAAGCTTGGACCTCGGCACCTGGGGGTACCTTCTTTTCTCCCTCCACAGCAGCCTCTTCGTACCTACTTCTGCCTCCAAGGACTGCTGGAGCCAGACCTGAGGGTAGGTGCTGAGGCCTTTGATSTAGCTCAGATCTTGTCTGAGGGAGGCCTGCCACACCTCCAGGGACCACATGGGGCCACAAGGAGGAGGTGAACTGGGTCCAGGTCAGTTGGGCTGGGAAAATCGGGGACTGGGACCTCAGGCCCTCTGTTGTGATTTGTGGGAGGGAGTGGATTTAGGGAGCTACTGGGCTGGGCCAGGGGGTGGGGGAGCACCGAAGCTGGGCTGTATTCCCCGGAGTGGAACCCCAGGGTCCTGCTTGGTCGGGAAGGGACAGGTGACCGGGAGAACAGAAAACAGGCCAGGCTCTGGAGAAAGCTGTGAGCCTCCCTGCGCCTCTGGGGTTTTCCCSGAGGCCCTGAGCCAGGCGCAGATTTCTTCATTCCATTGTATCCTTCCAAGAAGCTCCACCCACTGGACTCATTCAGTGCAGAAGAGACAATGTGTCACTCTTCCCCAGAGCCCAGCCCCACTGCCAGGAATGTGGAGCCCAGGCAGGGACTGTGGGGGCAGTATGGGGCTCCAGGTGTTTGGGACTCTCCCCACACCTCCCAGGTCCTCAGACTCACCTCCTCTTCTGGTCTCTGAAGGAGGACCTCAAATGCCAGCTCAGTGGGCTGGGCACGGCCAGGGAAGCCAGGCCAGGGAAGCCAGTCCAGCCAGCTCATTTCCATGGGAGGGAGGGCAGTTTCTCTCCCCCGCCTGTCCTTCCCGCTCCTTCTCCCTCTCTGGCCCTCTTCCTCACTCGCTTCTCTCCTCCCCTCCAGGATCCGACTGTGCTCAGTGGATCTCAGGCAAACACCACCAACACCCCCAGCAGCTCCAGAAGCTCAGTCAGCAGCCGMGGAGGGAAGGCCCAGGAGCTACCTGCAGCCATGTCAGCCTTCAACCTGGTCATTCTGGGCCTGCTCACCTCAGTGCCACCTGCCAGCTGTCAACAAGGTAGCACAGGACAGGGGACAGCCTGGTGGCTGCAGAGAGGAGAGGGCTGGGCTGGGCACTGGTGATCCAGGGGTGGGTGGGATGTGTCCTGGCTTTACCCACCCCCCCCTCAGCAGGTACGGGATTAGCCAGAAGAAGCTCCAAAGGCACAGTTTTCTGAATCAGGTCCCTGTGATTTGCTTTCCACCTGTGAGAAGAGGTGACAAGCCAGGGAAATGGTGGGTCTAGGATTTGTGGGAGGAAGAGTGGTTAGACCTGAGCAGGCACTGCCCTAGTGACGGCTGCATTCTGAGGGCTGGGGGCTGGGCGCTCTGGGGAAGGTAGGAGTGGGGCCCACACCTCCTCAGGGCAGGCTTGCTCTAGGGGAGGGGCCGTGCTGTCAGGGGTTTGCCCAAGACTTTGACCTGGTCCTCATCTTCTCAGCTTCCTGGGCTTGGGTAGAGAACAGTGCCCCTGAGTGGTCCCCACCATGTCCTGGACTCTGTCCAGCTGTCTTTTTTGYTGTGTGGCCTTGATGAAATCACTGCTCCTCTCTGAAACTCAGTTTTCTCACTCGTATAAGATGAGGATGGAAAACCCCACTCTGCCCACCTTCCAGGGCTGCTGCCAGGTCAGGGACGTGGAATAGCTTTGTACCCACTGAAGCATAACATCCCGAAGTCTGGGGTCCACCCTGCACTCTTAGGCTGCATCTGTGGCCAAAATCTGGTGACTTTGCAGTGGCCCTTGGTTCTAGTGGGAACTGACAAAGATGCTTCCAAGCTCTCCTGAACTCTCGTGTGTGTGTGTGTGTGTGTGTGTGTGTGTGTGYGYGTGCGCGCGCGCSTGTGTGCTCACACTCCAGCCCTGTCTCCCAGGTCCTGGAGGCCCTCTAGGGAACTGAAGAGACCGGAGGCTGAGTGACTTACATGGGTTGTAGAGCAGGGCAAGAAGGGACAGGATCCGGGCCATCTTTCTCCTGCCCCAGGTTCTGTCCCTTACTCTTTGTGCTTGCTCCAGAGTCACAGGGGAGGAGGAAGCAGAGGATTGTGGTCTCTCTTGTGTCTGAAGGGAGTTGGCTACAAGGTCTAGAGGAAGCAGGGAGGGGCCTCCCAGGGCTGCTCCCAATGCTTGAGCAATTATTTACCTGAGAGAGCAATGTGCTTGTTTCTCTTGGGAGGAACAACAAATTAAAAAAATGCTCATCTTTGTAGGATAACCACATTGTGTACCTTCTGCTATCCATGGAGCTAAGCAAGGTCTGACCTAGCCATAGGCCAAAGAGTTCCACAATTCTCCCTCTTTCCCAACACCTGCTAGGTTCAGAAAGAGTTCAAAGAAGAGGTGAAGCCTTCACTGCAGCAGGAGAGCTTTAGGGTAGACTCAAGGGAGGTCTTTTGAGTGGCAGTAAGGTAGAAGGAATGTTATTGATGCCCAGACTGGTTTTAATATAGAATGGCTCTCAGAATATAAAATGGCTGAAGGATACAGACATTTTTTCCTGGAGGCAGCAGCCCCCCACCCCCACCCCCAGAAATCCCCTGTTGACTTCTGTTCCCTCCTAGGACCTTTACCTACTAAGTATCTTTCCTCTGCAGGCCTGAGCTCCCTCTGGTTCATGTCGCACAGTGATGCCCAGGAAAGAGAGGGGAGTTCTTTGGGGGCTCCCTGTGGCCTAAGGGTGGAGATTTCTGGGAATCTTGAGGGTAGGAGYTGTTGTTAACAGTCAAAAAGCACAGAACAGGGGCTGGGATCCTAGCTCAGTGGTAAGGCACTTGCCTTGCACATGTGAGGCACTGGGTTTGATCCTCGGCACCACGTTAACAACAACAACAAAATAAAGGTATTCTGTCTATCTACAACTAAAAATAAAAAACTAAAAAAAAAAAGTGCATAGAACAGCATGGTTGGAGCGTTGACTGGTCTCTGGCCGCGCTCCCCTTGAACACCCAGCTGGAGGAATCCAAAGGGGCTCAGGGTGGGAAGCTTCCTTCCTGGTCCCCCTCATCTCAACTCTGTCACCGCTCTGTGCACCCCGACCTGAGCAGCTCGGCTGGCCCCATCTCACACCCTGGTAGCTCCTCCCAGCCTCTTGCCACGGAGCAGGATCTTCCAGATGCCCGCCCTTCTCTGGCAGTTTGGGGCCAGTTTCCAGCCTGATGGCAGTTGCACAGGAGGAGGGGCCACTCCTAGCTGGCAAGGCCTGGGCCAGCTGTCCAGGGGAACTGCCCTTTGGTCCCTGGGGCCCAGCACTCCCTGGGGGGCCTGCACGTGACCCCTGGGGGAGGGGATGGATGAGGCGCAGGGATCCAAATCTCAGACACAGCACCTTGAGCCCCACGGCCTTGTGGGCTGTCAGGCATCTGTCTCTCCCTGAGCCTCTGCCCTTCTTTCCAACCACATCTCATGCTCAGTGGGGTCAGATGGGCCCTCATTGCCAGTCCTCTTACCCAGAATGTCCTTCGTGTTCCTGAAGTGGCTGGTGGCCCCCCACACAAGCACCAGCCCTTTCAGTGGGAGGCGCCTTCTGCCCCTGCTCTGCACTCAAAATCCCCCTTCCCTCTTCAGGTTTGGGGAACCTGCAGCCCTGGATGCAGGGCCTCATCGCAGTGGCCGTGTACCTGGTTCTTGTTGCAATTGCTTTTGCCGTTAACCACTTCTGGTGCCAGGAAGAGCCGTAAGTGCTACCTGAGGGCCCTGGGACTGGGGTCCTGAACAGGTAGGGTGGCCTCGGGACCACTGCTCTTGCTCTAGTAGTGGGGAGAAGGGCCTCAAAACTCTGGGTCAGGTCCTCTCACGGTGAGGAAGGGAAACTGAGGCTCGAGGTCACAGGGTGAGTTGGTGACTGTTGGAACTAGCCTCAGGCTTGCTGGCTCCCAGAAGTGGGCTCTATTGGCCAGCTCTGGTGGTCCCTCCCTGTGAGTTTTGGGAAAATATCTTCTCTCCTTGGAGTCTTGAGGTTTCCTTTGTAGAGTTGGGAGAGCAGCCTGGTCTTCCTACTGGAAAGGAAGTTCCCATCCTTCTCCAGGGTCAGCTGTGGAGCTCTTGGATTGCAGACTGGACAGTAAACACAAGTGCACGTGCCGATGAAGGAGACTGTACAGTGCGCTGCCCTGGTCTGGGGGTGGTCAGGGAAGGCCTCCCTGATGGCATGTGCATCCTGGAGCCTGGGGGAGGCAGTTACAGGACAGGGAGGAGTACTCCTGGGTGGCCTTGAGTTAGAGGCCTGGCACCAGGGCCACTGGGTATGAATGCACAAAGATCAAGAGTGCACTCTCATTTATCAGGTCAAGGCCCCCAGGACGAGGACACATCTTTCCCAGAGCATCGTTTCCCATGCTCACAAAGGTGGCCCGGTGGCCAGGATGCCAGCCGCAGCCCTGCACAGCCTCAGAGGAAACACAAGCAGCTTAGTGGAGAGGGGACAGGGGAGGCCCAAGACGAGGCAGGCGAGGTGAGCAGGACCCAGGCCAAGAGAGCCCTTGGGCCTGAACTTTGGGCTTCATCTTGGTGCAGAGGAATTTTTAAAGCATGTTTTAAAGCCTGGGACACAGCCTTAGCAGCTACACGGTGCGTGGGGACAGTCTGCAGGCCTGGGGAGCAATGAGGAGCCGGGCATGAGGTTGGGATGATCTGGACTAGACGTGGCAGGCGTGATACTGAAAAGGGACTGAGTCTAAGAGCAGTCCAGGAGGTGGGCCCTTGGAGGCTGGTGGACAGAGACAGTAGTGGACCCAGGGGGATGAAGGACAAGGAAAATATCTGGGAACCTCACTGAGGCATAGGACATAAGYGGATGAACAGATCTGGAGGCAATTGATGAGTTTATTGGGGCCATGTTGAATCTGATCTCTGTGGGATGTCCAAGGAAAGATGAGCAGGTGTAAGGGTCCCTGTGACCCTCATGAGAGCAGTTTTAGGGGTGATGGAGCCCACACTGCTGTGAGTTTATGCTTGAATAAGAGGCTTTCTGTGGAGATGCTTCATTCCTCCACCGGCCAGCTCTCCTTCAGGGGCCACTGATAGACCACATCTGCTTCTGATTCCGGGCAGACGCTGAGTCTTGCTGTTCTGCTCTGAGGCCTGAGCTGAGGGTGGCTGGGAGGCAGTGGAAAGAGGCCTTGGACTCAGGGCAAATCTTGCAGATCTCTGGCCCCTACTGTGGAGCAGGAAGAAGAGTGTGAGTTTCCCTAGACAGGCTGATGGCAGGGCCTGCTAGACAGAGATGCTTGTGCTGCGCTTGTGAGAACCAGCATCCAGAATAGGGTCTGCTCGGACAGGGTGAGGTGGGGGGCTATCAGTGGGTGTTACTAATGAGCCTTGTCCCCAGGGAGCCTGGAAACATGGTCATGACTGTTGGGAACAAGGCAGATGGGATCCTGGTGGGAATGGATGGAAGGTACTCCTCTACGGTGGCCAGCTTCAGGTGAGGTGCTGTACAGGGCTGCTTGCCCTAGGCTCCGGGGCCCAAAGGGAACCCCAGGAGGAGGTGCTGCTGGAGGTGGGGAAAGAGGGTGGGGACTCCCATGGGGAAGGGCTAATGAGGTGTCGGGGACTTTGTGGGGATCACCAGGCTCCATGGGCAGGTGAAGCCTCAGTTTGGTAAGAAGGCTAAGTTAGGGGAAGGCTACTAGAAAGGGGGGTTCAGTGGGTGGATGGGGACTCACAGGGCAGTGGGTACTATGGAGAAAAGGGATTCCATGAAGGGCTGACCCTGAGGGGAGAGGGCTCAGCGGGGAGGGAGTTCAGCACGGGGAGATGGGCTCAATGGGTGACCAGTGGAGGAGGATCCCAGGGAGGAGGACAATGGGATTCAGGGAGGTGGTGCTGAGAGGCTTCCTATCTACATGCCCCAGCCCAGGTGTGGTCAGGAGAAGCCCCTCCTGGGAGTCAAAAGTTTATTCTACAAGATACCACTCTCACCAGCACAGGATGGGCAGGGAGAAGCGATGCCAGGCCTGCTGACCACCAGGCCCTGCCTCTTCTTTCAGGTCCAGTGAGCACAAAAATGCCTATGAGAATGCCCTGGAGGAGGAGGAGAGCAAGGTTCGCAGCACCGCCATGTGACCTGGCTCACGGTGGCTCCCAGCCCTGAGATTGAGGTGGACACCACCACCTGGCCACTGCCTTCTCTGGGCAGGAATCTACAATCAAGGACTGACTGCCCAGCAGTTCTAGCCAGTCAAGGTTGGGGCTCAGACCATGTCCAGGTTGGGGTGCCCGTATGGCCCGTATGGAGTCTTCCTGGGTGCCTCCCACCCAATTCAGAAGAGTGGATGGAAGATGCAGTCAGTTTAGCTTCCCATGCTGCCTCCCTTTCTCCCCTATAACCATGGAAATGACCCTTATTTCTGTGAAATAAAGACTTTTTGTACTTCTGGGGCYAAGGCTCAGAAATAGCCCCTCTGGCTTCCAGGGAGACCCTGTCTTGCTTTCTGAATCATGATAATCACCTGTCATGATGGCCTTGGAGGATTACCCAGGAAGTCTCTGGGCCAGGCCAGGAGAGGTGAGAGCCATGTTGTGAGCTTATGTCTATGTCCTGGTGACCAGACAGAGTGCCCTCCAGGAATGTCAGATGAACGCCCTTGTGTGGGAGAGTTTGGGCCCATTCTGACCAGAGGATGGGCCTTGCTCCCTGGGGTTAAACCCTTCCTCTAAACCCTCCCCTGGGCTGGAGCAGTCAGGAGAGCTTCCCAGGCGGGGCAGGCCCTGTGCAAGCAGGATACCCCAGCCTTGTCAGTTTCAGGGTGTGTCCTAGGTTCTTTCCTGTACAAAAGGCAGAAAGAGGGGATCAGAGAGCTAAGGGCCAGGGAATCCACCCACTCTACCTTGTTCCAGGGAGAGCCCCTCCTTCAAGTCTCACCAGCAACCCATCCTTCCTTATGCAGCACCCCACCCTGCCTCCATGACGCCTGGCATTGTGATGGGTTCATTCTTCTCTCATCYGTCCAGCTCTACCTGCTTCCCCATTGCCCCCGTGTGCTGTGTGTCAGGCAAGGAACTGCCAGGAGAGTCCAGGAAGAACTCAAGGAAGCTCAGATTTGAGTTCTTGGCCCCCTGACAACTTGCTCTGTGACCTCAGGAGAGTGGCTGACTCCTCTGAGCTCAGTTTCTTCTCTGTGGAAGATTTGGCCAGTCTCATCGCAGACCTGGAGTAGAACTCAGTCCTCACCAAGGCCTGATTCCCAGTCCTGAAGTGGGTTGGGGGTCAGGTGATGGGTATGAGGCCGAGGAGGGAGGAGGCATGACTCAGGGCCTGGCTGACCCTGGGCCCTTTCCTCTGTGACTGCCCAGGGAACGGCTTCTGGCTCTTTCTGTCTGGGGTAACAACCCAAGACAGACTCACCCAGGAGCATTCTCATATCCAAGGTAGTGGGGCTAACAGTGTACTTTGTCCTAATGTCTCCCCTGCCACCTGTCTCATCCTGTCACAGCCATTCCTTTGCTGTTCCAAGGCTCTCCCAAATGCCCCAGGGAAGACTCATCTTAAACCAGAATTAACCTTGTCATCTCACTGGGGTTTAGGATGTGGCCTGCAGCAGAGGGAGTGGGGTGCAGCCACTTTGTTCCAGGCCCACCCCTGCTTTGCTGTGCAACCTGAGCCAAGTTATGTCCTCTCTGGGCTTTAGCTGTATGAATTGTGGCTGTTGTTCCCATGATTCCTACTCTAGGCTTTTGCTCATGTGGCCTCTGCTGGTTTAAACTCTGCCTGTTTTTGTTTTTCCTGGTTGAGGCTCCTCCCGCTCTGGGCAGGGTTCCTTAGCAACCAGCCCAGCTTCTGACTCACTGTAGGAGAGACAGGTTCCTAGAGGGTTAGTCTCTGCTAAGGCACAAACACCCTCTTTTTCCTTTTCAGCCTYCTGGTGGGGACCTTCTGATGGATGTGATTTCCTTGCCTGGGGTCMTATTTCCTCCCTCCTCTGATCCCTGGGAGGTGAAGGTGGGTCAGGTCTGGTTCTCCTCCTCGGAAGGCAGAGCCACCTGTGAGGCATTACCAGGAGGGGCCAGTTTCTGCCTGAACTCACCTTGGTCCCCAGCAGCCTAAGGGGACAGAACGGGCACTCTGCTCTAAGAGCCTCCTTSGCTTTGCCCCTTTCCTATTCTGTCTCTCTCAATTTGAGCAGGACCAGGATGGTGGGAACCCTGGGGACCCCCAAGGGGACTGGACTGGAACTGACCTTACAGCCCCCACCCCCACTCCATGCTCTGACCAGAACGGCCAAGACCCCCAGTCCTTATCGCTTGTTCCCACCTGCCAGCCTGGCCAGATCATGGAGGGAAAGGAGGCTGGGCCGGGGCCAGGGCGGCTGCTTAATGACCCTCCCGGGGCCTAATCTCAGACTGGCAGCCGCTGAGTGGCTCAGGCTCGTTCCTGGAGGAGGCTGATAACGCACCAGCTGGACCCCCCACCATCTACTGGGCGGTACAACCAGTCCCCGGGGGCGGCCTCTGAGGGCCTGGGGCGGGGCTGGAGGCGCTCTGCCCACCCCTGACCCTGGGGGAGGGGATTAGGAGCTGCGGGAGGGAGTGACAGGCAAGGGAGGGACCCGCGCGGAGCCCTGGGCCGCCTCCCCGGGCTGTGCTCCTCCCGTCTTGCCGGCTCTCTCCGTCCTTTCTCTTCCCAGTAGGCCCTCTCCCGCCGTCCTGTCCCCTCTTTGTCTCTGTCCGGCAGTCTCACGACCTCTTGTTTTCATTCCCACCTTCCTCTCTTAGTCCTGTCTCCAGTCTCCCTCCATGGCCTCTCCCCACTGGCATTTCTTCTGTTTCCAGCTGTTTTCCCCAGCTGTCCCCCTCACCAGCTTTTCCCAAACCCCAAGATTCCCGGAGGTCACTCACCCCTTTGCCTGCAGGTCGCATGACTCACTGTTGGCGTCTCTCACGGATCCCTTCCACCAATTCGAGGCCAGAACAAGCAGGTCTCCCAAACCTCGCTCTGGAACCAAGATGTCCTCATACTGTTGATGGCATGATCACTTTTTCTGCTTCCGGGAACAGGGCTTGCATCTTTCTTTCCTCTGTCTTATCCCCAAAGTGTGACTTTCACAGGGTGACATTATAGGTCATACCCAAACTCAGGCAGGAAATGAAAGTCTCCACCCAAGCCCCGCACAGGTAGAGGGAGATTGCAGAATTGGGACTGAAACTTCAAGAGGAACTTCCAATCTGGACTTTTTTTTTTTTTTTAATGTTTTTAGATGTAGATGGACAMAATACCTTAGTCTCATTAATTAATTAATTTTTATGTGATGCTGAGGATTGATCCCAGTTCCTCTTATGTGCAACACAAGGGCTTTACCACTGAGCTATAGCCCTGATCCTCTGGGCTTGGCTTTGACAAAGGCTCTTTGGTGTTCTACCTCCAGAGCTTCCCCATTGTGGGGCAAGCTTCCCCCATTGCGAGGTGGTCAAGAAGCTTCAGRATTACTTCCCTTGTGCTCAGGGTAACTTGCAGAAATACTATGTGCTTTCAGGAGCCATCAGATCAGAGCTGTGGCTGGGTAGCACCTCTTTCCCTTACCCAGGGGGACTGGTGGATACAGAGGGTACAGACATGGGCTGGAGCCTGAGTCACATGGTTYCCTGTCCAGGACCAACCTCACAAGTAAGTCAGTCTGGGGGAGCCATCTGGGACTAGTGTGGGGGGCATCTGCTCCCTACCCAGGTCTGGCTGGGGGTCTGGATTCCCCAGCTCGACTTTCCTCCCAGATTTCAGCCCCTGGCAGTATGCACAGTGGCCMAAAGCAAGAATCTGGGAGTCATACAGACTCTGGGTCAAATTCCAGGTCTGCATCTCACTACCTGTGGRACCTCCAAGACTTGCCAGTAAAATTGGATTGGTAATAGCTTCCTGCAGGGCTGCTGGGAGGAAGGAGAGATAACATATGTGTTATAATTACATCRGAGAGTTGCCAGAAAGCAAATAACCTATGGTCAGCTTTGGAGTCCAGCCCCTGCACTCCCCTTTATCTGGCACCTGTGCCACGCCCCTCTGCACTGTCTACTTGTTGGTGCYCACCTCTAGCTCCAGGTCTGGGAGCCCCTCAAGGGTAGGAATGGAGTCACAGCCCTCTGAGTCACTAGCATCCAGGATAGGGCTGAACAGGGGAAGGGAAGCCTAAAGAGGGGGGAAGTGAACAAAGGAAGGAGGCTAAACTCTAGTAGTCTGTTTAGCTGTATGTCTGTCCATACCCCTCCATGCCACACAGGCGCACACACGTAAGCACTTGTAACCTGATTGCACATACCTATGCTTGCTTTCTCCCTGGTTGAAGGTTCTGGGGTTAGTGATAGACTTTCCTGGTCACCTCTGCCCCATCTGGCGGGGAGTGGCTCTTGTTGTGTGTCTGTGGCCTCCGCTGCCACCTGGTGGCTGCACACTCCTTAGGAAGGGCAGATTCAGCAGAGCCTTTGAACTTGAGCTGGGGTAAGGGAGCAGAAGTGCTGGGGCCAGAGACCATCTCCTGGCACYGTCCCAGCACTCCCTCAGGTGATTCAAACATTCACTGGGTCTTCCTATGGGCCTGCTGGACAGCTGGGCTCCTGGCCCCAGTGACTGAATCGGTGAATGCCTCAGGCTCCATCTATACTGGTCAACCAAGCTTTTAGAGGCTTAGTCATCTTGGTTCTGCCTCCCCCCACCACACACACAAATTGTCTAAAGCATAGTAGCCTGTGCCCCTTTTTCAAAGTGAGTGAGGGATGACATCATTTCTTGGACTTTGTTTGTATGGAATGACCCTGATCTCCTAGAAAAGCAGACTAATGATAGTTCAATGAAAGAGAAAGAAAGTGTGTGTGTGGCAGGGGATCCGAGGGTACAGAGATGAGCTGGAGCCTGAGTCACATGGTTCCCGAGCATCTGTCCTGGGCAAGTTGGAAGACTGTGGGACCAGGGACACCGTACTGAATGACGCAGATGATTCCTCCACTGACCAGGTCCTGTAGCCTGATTTGGGCCCGAGTTACCTGGAAGGAGGGGTGCCTGTTTTTTGGCACCATAGAGGACAGGGAATGGCACTGAGAATGGCAGATGCCAGGGGACCAGCAAAAGTGTGTGTTTATGG